AAAAAAAAAGGTGAAAATTAATTTGAATTTCTTTGGAGAATGCTCATTTCAACTTTCTACGAGAGTTATGGCCTATTTGGATAGCTTCCTCTTCTTAGCCTCAATAGATCCAAAAACAACTTCTTAGCCTCAATTTCCTACTTCCAAGAGGTTCTTATACCATGTTGAATATTATGCTCTTGTTTGGCTCTATTTTAATGTGATTTTAAGAAAAAACATATTTTAAAATAGTGATTTTTTGAAGAACGTGGGGTTAAATGATAAAGAAAGATTTTGAATTTTCGTGTAGTATTATTTTATTGAAAAATGTGTGATTGAAAAAAAGAAAATGAAAAATATATTTAAAAAATAATGAAAATCAAACAATGGCTTAATACGAGACAAACATGAACTGATGTTTTGTCTTGGTTCTTGTTTCCTTGTAACTATTTTTATTAATTAATTAGTTTGGATCAAATTTATAAAATTTATTTGTGAAGATTGTGACACATCACATCACATGAAATAGGTTCTCTCATTGCTTGATCAGCGGTCAATCCAAATAGAATGATCACTTGAGCATATGAAATTGACCTTTATGATTATTCATTCTAAGACAAATAATACAAAATTGAGAAGCGTGAAGAGATAATGTGCGAATCAGCATTCATTATAACTTATAGTTTGCACATTAAGCCCCCGTTTGACAATCATTATTTGGGAAAAACAGTGATTTGAATAGTAATTTTTAAAAGAACGTGTGATTAAAAATAGAGATTCGTTTTAAATTTACGTGTAAAATATTTTATTATGTGAATATGTGGTTGAAAATGAATATATAGAAAAAAAAAGTTTTCAAATAATTATTATCAACCATGGGTTGAATAGGTTCTCTCATTGCTTGATTAGCGGTCGGTTCAAATAGAATGATCGCTTGAGCATATGAAATGGATCTTTATGATTATTCATTCTAAGACAAGCAGTACAAAATTAAGAAATATAGTAACTGTTATTGTAACTCATATTTTGATCAAGAAAGTAGTCGATCATTCTTTTTGGTTGAACCCCGACCTTGAGGGCCCCCACCGTCCAACCGTTAGAGTATTGTAGAGGAAGTAAATCGTGGGATGTGTTTCAACAGGTCAGAGTGCAAGAGTTGCCATACTGATACCCACAAAGAGTTAAATTTCATACCTTGTAAAGTAGTCGATCATTCTTAATATGAGACAAACAGGAACTAATGTTTTGTCCTTATTCTTGTTTCCTTGTAACTATAATTAATTGATATATAATAAGGTTAGGTGGGTATTAGAGTGAGGGAGTTCTTGATTATTTATTTTTCTTTCTTATTCTTATTGGGGGTTGGCTAATCCCTAGGGTATCTAACCATGTGCTTAGCTTAGAGAGGTGCAATTCTTCCTCAGATTTGTTTGCTAAATTAATCAATGTAGTCTCAAAATACATTCTGATTTACACACACATATATCATTAAAAAATTTCTTGCAAAGAAAATGGATAACGTTATAAAACTATAAATAAAGACAAGAATAAGAGGAAAAAAAAGAGTAGAAAGTCGCAAATGCTAACATATACATTAAATAGTACTATTTTAAAAGTATTCTACTTACTGACGACTCTATATAATATCTTAATTTTTAAATCAAATGATTAAAAATGATATAAAAACAATCAAAGATCTTAAAGTTTCGTTGCCCCTCCGATAATTAAGTCTGCATAGGGAGATAGAGTTTTAAAATGTCTATAAGATTACACATCATTATGAATGAATACACATTATGCATGTATTGAAGAAGCTAAAGAACAGACATAATGGAAGATGTGAAAAATTGTGAATTTTTTGTCTGACATTCGACAACCCCACATGTATATGAATATAAACGAATAAAGTCCCATAATTAGTCGAAGAAGAAGAAGGGTTTCTTCCGATTTGGGTAAAATCCTAAGAAGAACCCATAATACATTGTCTGAAAAAGAAGTACCCATGTTGGGTCCAAAACTCTATAATTAGGTTTACAAGACAAAGGGTGTCGGCCAATAATGGTTTTCATAAATTTAGTATTAATTATAGTGTATCGTGCAAGTATGGGTTGAGGAGGCCCCTATATGATATGTTAGAATTTTTGTTTCTTCGACACTATATAATTCATCTAAAATATATAGGAGAAAGCCCTCTAGGTCATAGTCGATGAGTCAAGTGTGAATTTTCTAAGAAATGTAGTTGATAGTATCGATAAATATTAGAGTGTTCACACTTTCAAGTCAGTTGGTGAGGGTTGAACGGGAGATCGTGGACATTGTAGAATCAATAGATTGTTGTTTAAGATGACTTCCTCAAGAAATTTTTTTTTACGAATATAAAAAGTTAAAGCTTTCCAAACAAGCCCTTAATAACTTAATAAATTTGATATTTATTGGATCATAAAATGAATAAAAAAAGGTAGAAGGTGAGTAGGTAAATAATATTGGTTAGTTAGATCAACCAATTTGTTGACTTCACTCAAGTCTAACATGGAATTTCGTAATTTCTTCGTGTAACTCCATAAGCACGCGTAACCATGCACATGTACCTCAAATAATAGAGAAATTACGTGATTTGTAGTCTATGTTTGTACCTCAATTTGACTTTCTTTTTGAGCAAAATAAAATTCATTGATCATCGAAATAGCCAATGGATACAAGGAGAATAAAACTCCTACACAAT